TGCGTGCAAACGAAGACGTGAATCGGATTCAATCCGGAAATCAGTGCGTGTAAACGCTCCAGTGAAGAGCAGACTTACTGCCGGAGCTGCTGCTGGTCCAGCTGCACTCAGACGAGCGACTCAAGACTCTGGCCTCGTCATCCTCATGACAGGCTGCGGGAGAAAAGCACATCGAATTAAACGTGAGCTCGAGCATTACAACCACTAATGAAAGTCTGAGACCGGAGTCCTCCGTTACCTCTCGTCATCTGCTCCAGATGCTCCCACAGGATATCGCCCACGAAATCCGGAGCCAGATCCAGGAATCCGTCCTTTCCCAGGTCGCACAGCTCCTGTCCGCTCAGGTCAAACTTGAAGAAGCTGATGTTGGTCAGACTGAACTCTCCGGAGGCCCAGTACAGCCACTGCAGGACGTGCTGCTTGGTCCACTTACACGGGTCTGCGGGACGCAAACGAAGACGTGAATCGGATTCAATCCGGAAATCAGTGCGTGCGTGCAAACGAAGAAGTGTATCGGATTCAATCCAGAAATCAGTGCATGAGTGTATCGGATTCAATCCAGAAATCAGTGCATGTAAACGCTCCAGTGAAGTGCAGACTTACTGCCGGAGCTGCTGCTGGTCCAGCTGCACTCAGACGAGCGACTCAAGACTCTGGCCTCGTCATCCTCATGACAGGCTGTGGGAGAAAAGCACATCGAATTAAACGTGAGCTCGAGCATTACAACCACTAATGAAAGTCTGAGACCGGAGTCCTCCGTTACCTCTCGTCATCTGCTCCAGATGCTCCCACAGGATATCGCCCACGAAATCCGGAGCCAGATCCAGGAATCCGTCCTTTCCCAGGTCGCACAGCTCCTGTCCGCTCATGTCAAACTTGAAGAAGCTGATGTTGGTCAGACTGAACTCTCCGGAGGCCCAGTACAGCCACTGCAGGACGTGCTGCTTGGTCCACTTACACGGGTCTGCGGGACAGAGAGGGCGTCACGAACACATCCGTCCTCAAAACAGACAGCAGAGCTCACGAGACACTCACTGTTGGAGATCCCGCAGACGCGCTGCACCTTGGAGAAGCCGTTAAAGCTGTCCTTCAGCGCCTGACTGACCACGGCTTTACTGCAGGGCGTCAGCAGAGGAACCGAGCACACGCCGGCATCTGCAGACCACAGAGATCCGAGTCAGCGTACACGCGCTCAGAGTGCATGACACATTTGCATCAGGGTTTAACGGGCAAACATGCAACACTGGGCATTTAGAGCTGAAAAAAACACTGCTTTTTGGAAGAGTAAATCAAAGTTCTGAATCCACAACAATTCATAGATTTTCCCACTAATACAGCAATAAAAACGTCTATTTTACTATTTAAATTCGGTAATAAATATTCACATCAATGCATATTTTAAATCAAGGTTATAATACGTCTGAATTTTCTTTATTCACAAATATGAATATTAATATCAATGCCTATTTTACATTAGAATAATAAATCAGAATTTTTGTGATTACTAAATATATTAATATCAATGCATATTTTAAATAAAGGTTATAATAAGCCTGAATTATTATTATAAATAAATATTAATATTAATTCATATCAATGCCTATTTTAAACAAAGCTTAGAATAAGTCTATATTTTTATTATTAAAAAAATATTAATATTATTTAATATCAATGCCTATTTTAAAAAGAGGTTAGAATAATAAATCTGAATATTTATTCATACCAATGCATGTTTTGAATAGAGGTTAGAATACTAATCCAAAATATTTATGATTAATATATATAAATATCAATGCATTTTAAATCCATGCATAATTTCGCTTATTTTAAATGATGCAATAAAAAATATATATATTGCAATAGTTTTTGTACCCCAAAAATCTTTGACCCCTAATGCCCAGCGGATAAATGGTCTCAAATTGAAAAGCATCCCAAATGTTGTCCCTCCAGAAGTGCTGTTGTGCTTTACCCCGAGACACACAGTCCAGCCCGGACGGGACCTCCTGAGCCGCCTGCTCCTCCTCCACCGGACAGAAGCCCGAGAACAGAGACATGGGGTCTTCGAACATCTCGAACGCCGCCTGACGCTGAGACAAACAAACACAACACATTACACTCCATAACCACACTTATAAACTTCAGACAGTGAGTGATGAAGCTGCTGATGGAGCACAGGCAGCAAGCCCAGAGGACACGCCCCACGCATGACATCATCGCTCAAGCGCTTATCTGCGCCACCAATGGGAGCGCACTACCATATATGGTCTTCCTGTTCCGTGCCCGCGTGGGCGAACCTCAGCTGACCTCCAATGACTCTCCAGCAGCGCGGAGCTCAGCCAATCAGAGCGCAGCACACACACACACACACACACACACACACACACACACACACACACACACCTCACCTTTAACGCGTTTCTGAATCCAGGTAAAAGAGGCTCCATGTTACACATTGTGATCTAAAACGGCAAATAAATACAAAATGATCAAGTCTGATCAGAATCAGTTCATATAAAGTTTCCCTCGAGTCAAACCCGACTCATAAACATTACATAACACGACTGTACTGTACTGTACATGCGCTCAATCAGATTATTCATGAAAACATTGATTACTGACCTGCTGAAGTCTCGCAGAAACGCTTGGACGGCCAACCGTTGGTTTGATCCCTCTGATCGATCCGCTCACTGTCCTGATATATCGATATATCGATCCTGTAGATGCGCTCGCTACGCGTTTGTGAGGCGCGTCGTCTGAGCGCGGGAGATTATGAGCGAGCCCAGCGGAAGCGCACGGCGGTGGGCGGGGCCAAGGAAAGCCAGCAGCCAATCAGATCACACACTGAAGTCTCGCCACACCTGTGCATTACTAGCAAACAAATCTAGCTGCTGGCAACTTTATTTTTTATTACAAGTGTCCTTGTTACATGTACTTACTATTATAATAACAATTAATTATGCATAATTACATGTAACCCCAAGCCAAACCCTAACCATAAGTACATGTAGTTAATTAATATAATTAAATGTATCAGTGGTGTCAGTTGCTCCTAATATTTGTTACAATGTTATTTTAAAATATTGACGTAATCATAAACACGCAAATAGTTTTATCATTTACTGCACTTTGTTATTTTTAATTATTTACTAATGCACCGGAAGTCGCGCGCACGTTCACAGAAAATAGCTTTATTTCCGCTTTGCAAAGTCAGGTGGATCAGTGACCCCCATTACTGTAAACCACCATAGACTATGCATTTATATAATTAATGACTAGGGTGATTACATTAAAGTGTATTATAACATATTTGATCATTTAATTAAGCCATGCTGATGCGCTGTCATTAGAATTCATTAACATTGAGTCATGCTCGAAAAACTTTTTATTTGGCGCATGATGATTCATTTTGGCATTGCGGCAACAACAATGATAACTTTCATTTATGTGACTGTTCAAATGCATGTAAAATGATGAAAATAGTGTTTGCGTCTGTCCAGTCTGACACAGATAAGGAAACTCTCAAAGCTTCACATCATTAAAGGGGTCATCGGATGCTACATGCACTTTTACAAGTTGTTTGAACTGAAATGTGTGTTGGCAGTGTGTGTACACAACCACCCTATAATGATAAAAATACACCCGGTGTTTTTTTTTTGTTTTTTTTGATCTCGTTAAATCATTCCCCTTTCTCATATCAAGCCGATCTCAGATTCTTGTCTGTGTGACATCACACAGACAGGCCCCTCCCACGATTGTTGATTGACACTGGTGTCTTACCTTAGCTCCGCCCTGAGTGACGGAGGAGAGAGGGGCGGAGTCAGCAGAGCTCATTAACATTTAAAGGAAAATGTTACAAAAACGGCTTGATCTGAAAAAAGCTGTTGTTGACAGGTTAAAAAAGGTGTTATTTTACACTACCATTGAGAAATTTTAACCAAAGTATGTTACAGACTTTTCATTAAGAATCTA